CACAGCAATGATTGTAGTGCTCGTACCTGGTAGGTGCTTGATAAATATGCATCCTTTCATTAACTGTGAACAAAACGAGATTTTAGGTAAAGAGCAATGTTAACACCTCTTGGTGACATCTGAATTGTGTTTCTGCAACCACATATGGAAGGATGCACGTGATTCTTCCTCCTTATATTCGGTATCATTTTGAAAGTTCTGAGTATAAGTGAAATGACATCTGAAAATGGTGCTTAGGCTGCTCAGAAAAAGGGTGTGATGAAACCATGGTACATGAAATGAGCTAATTTACAGAAATATAGCTTTCAGAATGTAGCTTTCTGTCTCCAGTTTTACTTAGCACTCAGATTACATTTGGGGATTTTGCCCCCTGTATAAAAATATAAAAACACTGGATTAGTATGGTCTTCCTATTCTTAAACTAGTTGAACAGGAATGAGAGAATATATGTGAGCTACCTAGAGAAGTCCAATTTTGTGTCAAGGATTTTACTAAGTGCTTTACATAAAATTATTCATTCACTCATCACAGAATCGCTTATAACTGATTGTCCCTATTTTACAGATGAGACAACTGAGGCTTTAAGAGATTAGGTATCTGATCTCATTCTATTCAACTCCAAAGTCTGTTCTCACTACCATCTTCTCTTGCTGTCATAACTTCCAAGTCAGCTTTTTAATTCTGGTCTATCTGTCCACCAAATGCAGCTCACTGTGAAAATCATTGTTTGCTGTGCTATTACTAAAAAATGTATATTTTATTTATATAATTCCTAAGTGGAACTCAAATTCTAATCAACAACCTCATTGTGGACTGGAGTTATTTGGTGACTGCAAACTTGCTAGTAGTCTGTGTATGTCCAAGTCTGGGAAAGTCAAGTTTTTCTTATGTTTTCTGGATATCCAGTGAAAATGAATTCAGGTCATTATATATTTTCTATTTTTCATGAAAGTAAAATTATGCCTCATATGAATTGGCTAATTATTTATGCATGTATGCATGCACATGTACATACACACAACACATACACATATTCACAAGTAACTAAGAATGTACCACAAAAATTACTGAGAAGAGGCAAAGTCAACACATTTGGAAAAACACCAAAACTATAACAACATAAATGTTAATACCAATCATTTAGAATAGGTCAGTTCTGCTGAACACTTTAACTTGAAATTATATTGGAGGAATCATTTTATGTCTCGGACAATACAGAAAGTCATCATTACTATAACACATTACTTTTCTACAGAAGAGTATATCTGTAGATCTTTTTTTCTACAATATTTCATCATAGCCTTCACAACAACACTATGAGTTAAGAATAGTTATTTCCAAATTATATAGGAAGAAATCAAGGTTCCAAGACTTTGAACGACCTACCAACCATTAAGCAATACTTGCAATGTTTGACTGACATCTTCTGATTCTCAATCCAGAGGGTTTTTTTTTTTTGCTTCTGATTTTAACCCCAGCCTCCACCATTCCCCATTTTATCTGTGACAGCTGAGTAGTCCCAAATGGAGATGCAGATAATTGAGTGAGTTGGCTTAATTTATTGCAAAGCCCCTGCTCTATTCACACATCAATTAATCCATCTTTTATCCTGTAATTTATTGGGGTCCCTGAGAGGTTGTTCTGAAGTGATGGAGAACAGTATCAAGGACAAACAAAATAGCATTTGTCATCACAGACTGTATCTTCTTCTTCTCAAGAGTCTTCATTTTCTGTTGTAGGCTGATGCTCTTAGCCTATTCCTATTAGCCCCAGTTCCAGCATCAGCTCAGCTCTTTGAGCTAACAAACAGCTCTAGGCTGTTGTAATGACTCAGCAATCAAAATTTCAAGTTCAATCCACCTGGTCCTTACCCACCTCCAGGGCCGGGGCTGCAAAAGCTCCTCTCTGCTCTTGAACTTACTAGGGGATGTTCCTGGCTCCTTCTTAAATGTTCTCAGTAGCTGACTTTCCAGCTGTCAACCCTGTTTGTTACAGAGGGAAAGAGCTATTCATGTGTTAAGTGCCCTGGGTCTTAAAAACACAGGAACACACTGGAGAATGTTGGGCCTCCTTGTCTGACTTCAGCAGAGTCCCAGGGAAAGGACTTCCAAATCTAAATAGAGTTAAATACAGAAAGAAACTGGAATGTCCTTTATTCTACCCAATAAACTCAGAGAAACCCTTCACCAATTCATTCTTTTAAAAATATAACCCTGCATATGCTGCTTCTAGGGAACTTTAGCCTTTTCTTTAGCAACTCTGACATGTTACTTCTACTGAAATGGAAGGCTCCCTACCCCCATTGACCTTTCTTTTCTGAATTCTCTAAGCAATAAAACAAACCCTGGTAAACCTCAAAACCCTCTCTACCACAAAATAAAACTGAAAAAGCCATGGACCTGGAGTTGGTTCTGATCAAAAGCTGTTTATTATTGCTCTGGCCTGAGCTGAAAATAAAGATGCAAAGTTACAGTTGTGCAAACACCATCAGGAACCCTTGAGATATGGGAGAGATGCTTTGCACATTGCATAAGCTGTAATCAGAAAAGCCTGAGTTGACTGTACCCCACTCCTATTATTAGCCTAAAATAAGTGATCATCAAAGTGTTGCTATCGCTAAAAGATTCACTCATTACAATTATTAAATCTTTAATACACAAAAGCCAAGTTGGTATCTTTTGTTGTTTTTTTGTTTTGTTTTGTTTTGAGGTAGTATTGAGAATAATCTGTGCAATTAATTTTTACCAACACCACACATCTAAATATACCAGTACTTGGTGAGAATATGAATAGGAGAACAGTCAACATTAGATAACCTCAATGGAGAGAGGTACTAATTTGCCGGATTCCAGAAAGACATTTTCAAAGGACCTCTCTCTATTCAGAGCAGTCCTAACACTAAATAGATGACCTAAAATGCTGTCCTCCATACCTGGGACTAGTTGCCAAAAGATGCAGGTTAATAAAGAGCTGACAAACTTAAGGAATGCTGATTGTCCAGGCAGAGCTTGGGGAGCCTCCAATACCCTGCCATGACCCTTTGGCACTTGGAGTATCAGGATCCTTCTCCTTACAACAGAAACTTTGTGTTTCTTATTCGTATATTATTCTCACTTTCAGGGTTTATGAACCTCAGATTGTTTTTTCCACAAAGAAAATAAAATTTTATTTAGGATTTCTCCTAGGTTCAAGCCACTTAAAAATTAAAAAAACAAAACAACAAACCTCCTTTCTAGATAAGAAAAATGTACCTGGACATTATGGGTCACAGATAAAAATATCATAATCATAAATCATTGACATGAAAGACACATTATAAATTATACTGACAGGAGTTTTCCCATGGTAATTTTTACTGAGAGTACTGCCTGGAGTACCAGGTACAAGGTTGGGCCAGGAGTGGAGAAGGGGCAGCTTCTCACAGTTTTCCTCTTTTACTTGCTTCTCTAAAATCATTAAGCAAAAAATATTAGATAGATGAAAGGCTAGGATAGCCTAGGGTAATACCAGAGTATAATCTCATTTTTAAGTTTTTTGTTTGTTTGTTTGCTGGTTTTCTTTTTGGAACTCCTTTTAAATATATATATGAAATCAATGTTTTGAGTATGATGCCTGACATCTCTCAACTTGGGTGCTCTCATAAATCTTTGACCCAGGCCACGTAGCGTCTGAATAAATCTATTATGCTACAATTTTCATCTTCTTTCTATACATAGACATCAACACCTGGAGAGAATCACTTAGGTGTGCTCTTCTCTACCTAGTTACCACACCTGTCATCTCTTCCATGAACGTGTCCACAGTAACAGTTCAAGTTGGCTAACATTCCATGAACTAACACTATCCTTTTCAGGACAAACCATCCACATGCACTGGCAGATGAAGAGTAAGGTTCTGCTGCCTTCCTGTGAGGTCTCAGCATTTTAGAAACCTATTTACAAGTGATTTTTTCCTCGTGGGGAGAAGCTAATTGATACCAATGCAGAGATAAAAATACTACAAGACACAGGAACACAGATGTTATCACAATGAAATGATATTTTGCTTTAATTAAATAACCTTGGGATTGAAACAGGTGAAATATTGTCTGCATTTCACTTTGAAGGAAAAGCTTGGAGGTGGGGGTGAAGAAAGGCACAGTTAACTACCAGGAAACTAAGGAGACTGAGTTAGGCAAGATGTTTGAGTAAAGTCACCTGAATTCCTGATGCCACTTGCTTTTACAGCCAAGAATAGACAATTAAGAGCAATTTTCAAACACATCCCCTTCTCGGGGGACCACATAGGGTAAGAGGATGTTCCAAAATGAGCGACACTAGTCTTAATCAGGGAACACTGCATTCGGAAAGGTTAATGAGATGCAATAGCGAGAGAATCAGTGCAAAAAGAGAGAGGTTCAAAATACTAAACAATTTCCACTTTGTTCTCATTTCCTCCAATTAAGAGCTGGTGAAGCAGCTTTTCTGTATTCCACACATTCGCTACTCTCTAGAGCAGATATAACTAACTATTCAAGGAGAAAAAAAAAATAGAGCTATGGGGAGGGGGAAGTCTACTATTAAGTTATCATGAAAGTCCGGATTACGCCCCCACCTCCCCAGCCCCCAGTCTCTGAGCAGACACGCTTTGCCTCTAACTCAGAGCCTGTGCCAGTCGCTTTTCTGATTAATGCTTTTCCTCAAATTTAGACAGTATTTCAAGGCAGGAGAAAGCTGGAATTATTTTTTTCCCAGATTTCATATATTCAGAATTCCCTGTGAAAATGTTAGATAAACAAGAGAGGTATAAAAATGGTAAGAGGAAAGGGGGGATGGTTATACAAATGGAAATAACCTCCTTGGCATAAAAATAGCCCCAAAATGCCACACACTGAGTTCTTCTGAGCATTCCAGTCTCTAGAAATGAGCGTATAAACTGCATATGGATTTCCGAAAACAAGCAGGAAAACACAAACATTGCAAGACAACAAGGACCGAGATCTGAGGAGTCCCGTGACTTACCTTCTTTATGGATCCTCAAAGTTCACCAAGGAAAATTTACAATCCTCTAGCTTGCCGTGCACTACTCTATTTTCTTTTCTTCTTTTTATTTTTTTAAGTCATATCGGAGAAAAATAATCAGTTTTCAAAGGTTCCATGTATCTGATCTTCCAGCACCAGCAAAAACGTGTCCAAGAGACTCCGCCAAAAAGTAAGCCAAAAACTCATCAAAGGCAAAAGCAGAAGGGGGAGTGGGGAAGCAAGGAGGTGGCGAAAGGCTGGGGGTGGGGGCTACAGACTGTGAGCCCAAGTGCCCGGAGAATATTGTCACGCTGTTGAAATCTCTTACTGTACGAAATACCTGCTTTGGTTGTCACACTAACACGTACACACACACGGACACTCACACATTCTCTTTCATGCAAAGCAGGCACCCACACTCACAAACACATACAAACACAGGCACTCACACAAACCAGTGTAATGAAAACTGTCAGTAGTAACCTCCAAGAGCTGCTGTGTGCTGCAGATGGCACAGCTCACTGTTACCTTCCCAGATCTGTGAAGGATCAAATGAACATCCAAAATCAGGGGGGCCCCAGGACTAGGTAGATTCCGGATCCCTCTCCCCCAGGCAGATGCATCAAGCCAGGAGCAGGTCAATCAGCAGAGGTGTCTGCTTGCAGGGTGCCCCGGATTATGGCAAGGTTATTAATCTTGATGTGCTGCATCCCCCACCCCCAACATTCGGCAGCCTGCATTGAGATGATTGCCAGAGCTGTGTCTGTCCCTGTTCTACTGCATTTGCTCAGCCCTCTGATGCTGCAAGTGAGACACGGTGGAGGCAAGAATACTAATAAGGTGGTTAGCTACAGTTTCTTCAAGGCAGTCGGCATGCAGTACAGTAAATGTGTACTTCCCAGTGCTCCGCGTGTGAGCCTGCGTGTCTGCAGGGAGGGCAGTGAATCCATCTCCGGCCAGAAGACGAAATGGTTTGCATCCTGCCTGGGAGAACTATATCATCATCGGAATCATCACTGTCCTGCAACGGCGCTGTCTATGACAGTATTTTGCTTGGGATAAAGAAGGGGGTTTAATGGTTTAGAAGCCTAGAGCTGGCATTTAAAAGAGAGAAAAAAAAAATGTCTAGGGAGACAAATTAGCTTTATAAATAGGATCCAAGGAGACCGAGGCAAAATTTTAACATGCTGCTTCCCTGGCTGTTAAATGGAAATACAAAGCAATTTCAAAAACCAGCTCCAGACTATAAATCTTGGAGCTGGCAACAAGTATCTGAATTTGACTGATGGGACCATAGATAAATGGATTCTTGGTAATATAAAAAGTTTGCTCATACATTCTGCTTCATAGCCATGGATCCGATGTATGCAGCAATTTAGGTACAGTTCATTCATTTTTAAACATGAATTTAGACTTGACACCTGCAATTTTACTTTAATGTACACTTTTAAATCACATAGCTATCAAATTGCAGAGAACATCTGTGTGGGACAGTTTCACTAGAGGGATTGGTTAACAATTGTCCATCACGAGCATTATAATACATAACATTTTTACCTGAAACAAGCTTAAAGTTTTCAGAAAAAAAGTATACATCTCTTTTAGTACCAAACAATGAAATTAAAAATACATGTGTAATATGCTAAATAAGTTATCAGCCTCTAGAGGGCTAAATTTTCTGCTCCTCTGATTCAGTTTCATATTAAAATACCTTTTCGTTAGTTTGGGACACTCACTATATTCTTTAAGTTGAATTAACTGGTGTTATCTGGAAAAGTTGGACAGTTGGAGAAGGTAGATAAAGGCTAATTATAGAGCAGTGTAATACCAGGTATTGCCAGCAGATGTCACAAAAGAAAACACCGGTAAAATAATTCTTCCAAGAACGGCAAGCATTTAATCTTATTTACTAAACACATATCTTAATAAAATTGATGGGACTAATATGAAATACTGAATTTTATAAAATTTTAAGGTGCAAATAAGAGCTTAGAGTATAACTTGCCTTTTATATTTTTCCAAATATCCCTCTAAAATCACCATTTTTCATAACCCTGGTAGATTTTCTATTATTAATATTGGAAAAAATAGTGTGCCATTAACTAAGATTAGACTTGCATATAATACTATTTCTATTAGTGATTTTATTTTGTTCCATAAAGTATAGCATCAACATATTATATGTAATAAAGCAGCTACTAGATTAAACTACAAAACAGTTTGTAAATTGGAGGAATACAGTTAGTCTATAAAAATTAGTATGAAAGAATTATTCATGTTTAGGACTCAAACACTTAAAAAAGTAACACATATGTAGGATGTACAAAGAATTTTGACTGGTCTTTATCAATTCTATTTATGCTAATGTGTGAAATGTTTAAAAGAATCTAGTATATCATCTTAGCCTTCATTTACTTAAGTATAACTAATGGGTACACACCAGCTCGCAGCACTAATTGGCAAAATTGTAAGTAAAATACAGTATTAAAAATTGGCCTTTGGAATTTAGATAGATCTAGGTTCAAATTTTAGTTTTTCCTCGTATAGCATAGTTAGTCTCTACAAGTCATATATCTGTGTCTTTTATTGGGGTGGGGTTGTGCTTTGTCTCTGTCTCTCCTTTTTTTAATTTTTAACTTTTAAAAAAATTTCTTTGAAATCAGGTTGCTATGTCACTTGAAAGCAGGACACTAATATGTACCCAATAGGATTATTGTTAGGATTGGAATGAATTAATATTTATTATGTGCTTACCATATCTCCTGATACATAGTAAGCGATCTATCAGTGCTACAAATGTCTTATAAATAAAGTAGATATTTGATTTGTACTATGTTAGTCTGGCTTTGTGGACTACCAAGTTAAAGAAGAGAAATTATTTAATCAATCCTTTTGGTATTGAAGATGTGCTTTTAAATTTATTTTTACGAAGAGTTGGTTTGATCTTGTTTTTGTAATAAACCTATAGTTATATAACATGCGCCACTCTTTAAAAGTTTATTATATGCATCCCAGTCAGCCCTCGGAATCCATGATCCCATATTCATAAAATAATTTTTTAAAATAACGATACAATAATAAAAAGAATACAAATTTTAAAAAGCAATATAACAAATATTTACATTGTATTAGGCATTATAAGTTATGTAGAGATGATTCATGAAGGATGTGCTTAAGTTATATGCAAATACTACACCATTTAATATAAGGTAGTTGAACAGTCATGGATTTTGATACACAGAGGGGTCCTGGAACCAACTCCCCATGAATATCTAGGAACGACTGTACATGCATTCTTGCTTTATATATGTGTCCTAAGACTCAATAGGAAAGGGAAATCACTTTCTTGATTGTCTGATATTTTGACTCAGACGAGTATTTGGAAGGAAGTCTAATAGCAAACACTGCTTCCTCATCAAGACTTGCTTTGAAGCCGATAGTGTCACCAAACACTAAAGTGTTGGTATTTAACAAAGTGCTAGGCGCTTATGTTTATGTCCCCCCAAATTTATATATTGAAGCCCTAATTCCTAATACTATGATATTTGGAAATGGGGTGATGAGATTCAAGACAAACTATTCCAAAATATGGCACCTTGACATTTAAGAAAATGACAGAAGCAGAAAGGTCACTCTCACTTTGCTCTTCCCTTCTCCCCTGAAACTGGCCATAAAATCTAGCTAGTCTTACTAAAGTGAGGTTATAAAACCTTCATTCCAGCGGAGGCCCTCCCCATACACTGAGAAAAGAGAAATTCTGAGAAATTCTTGTCCTTGCAAACACAGAGATGCCAAGAAGAATCTGAACAAATGGGCCTGGCTAAGTTCTCTCCACATTATTACCTTTAAATCTTACCCTTTTTCTCTAATTGTTCTTCTACATGACTGTATACCATTCATCAAATATAAGCATAAATATACACAAATTTGTCCATTTGGGTCTTCATTTCTGAAGGATCCCATGTCACCTGAAACGTGTTAAATACATTTGTATGTTTTCATCTTGTTAATTTGTAATGTGATATAAGGACTTTAGCCATAAACTTTGTGATGAGTGAGGAAAACATACTACTTTTTCTTCCCTACAAGGGCCTTTAGGAGTTAATTAGGTCACGAGGGTGGAGCCCTCTTAAGTAGGATTAGTGCCCTCTTAATAAGGGATGTGAGAGAGAAAATCTCTCTCTTTGTCATGTTAGAATGCAACAAGAAGGTGTCTATTCATAAACCAGGAAGAGAACCCTCACCAGAAGGCAAATCAGCAGGTGATACCTTGATCTTTGAATTTCCAGCCTCCAGAACTATGAGAAATAAATTTCTGTTGTTTAAGCTGCTCAGCTAAGACACAAGTTAAAATAAAATAAAATAAAATAAAAATAAAAATAAAATAAAAATAGTTACAGTTTATTAATCAGAAATTCAATGACAGACTACAGCAGATTATCATTTTTAAATGGATGCTTGGATATTGAATCTTTTGGCTACTGATCACTGGACAATTATTAGCTACACAGTAAGTGCTTTTTGAGAGAAAGGCATACCAAGAAGGTGGCTACAGGGCATAGTTACACGTAAATTCCTTCTGGGTCTCTTGAAGAAATTCATTAGATTAAAAATGTGTGTTATAAAATTAAACAGTTTATCGCTAAGCCTATTGTTCTTCACTCAGCATCCTAAAACTCTAGGGTGGGTTGAATAATCTGTAAAGTTGAAAAAAAGTTTCTTTGAAATCACTTTGCTATGTAAGATTAAATACATCTCCTCCCTCATTCCAAGAAAGCTTAGTGTTATCAATAGTCCTCTAAGTATATTACTAAGAGCGTACATAATGGTAATATATTGTTCCATGAAGGAAGAGCACTGGTGAGTTCATTTATTTCCTCATATGCAAAATATTAAAAATTAAAGTAATAAAAAATTTTTAAAACTTCCTTTTTTGGGGGGGAGGGGATGGAGTTTTACTCTATCACCCAAGCTAGAGTGCAGTGGCACACTCTCGGCTCACTGCAACCTCCGCCTCCTGGATTCAAGCGATTCTCCTGCCTCAGCCTCCGAAGTAGCTGGGACTACAGGTGCACACCACCATGCCCGGCTAATTTTTGTATTTTTAGTTGAGACAGGGTTTCACCATATTGGCCAGGCTGGTCTTGAACTCCTGACCTTGCGTCCATCTGCCTCGGCCTCCCAAAGTGCTGGGATTACAGGCATGAGCCACTGCAGCCAGTCAAAAACTTCTTTTCTAGTAATAGAAAACCTCGAGTTTGGAAAAAAAAAAAAAAAAAAAAAAAAAAAGCCCAGATAATCTGGGACTTCTGGACAGTATGTTTGAATTAAGGAAGAAATAATGCATCTATATCCACATTATTGAAAAATTCTAAAGTTTTCTGAGATAATAAGTGATCACCTACTACAGACAGCAGATATATGTATGGCTTTAATATGAATATGTTTTATTTTGGGGGAGTAAATAGTGAGTATGAAAGATCCCACCACCATCAATATGAACAGATTCTTCTTCCAATTTATATGTGAAAACTGCAATTTCATAGCTTCTCTCAGCACAGTTTACAACATGCCACTCATGCTTCTGTTTGAGACCTATATTATAGGCTAAGACATAAGCCTAAAACAGAAACTTAATTTAGTATTTGTTCCCTCCTTGGCTTATTGTCAAATCAGTTTGCCTGAAATTCAAGTTTTCTGAATTCATTTAATAGCCTAAAAGATTATATTCTATTATTTCATCTCTTGAAATTTTCATTAACTACATATTGAATTAAGTTTGGCTCTTTTATTTAAAGTGTTTTAACCAGTTACTGAGGGTTGGACATTTATTATGTTTCTCAAATTATTCAACGTTCCTATTTATATCCAGAAATTGCAAGCTTAGATAAGTGCAGCATAAATGTTGAGCTATTTGGATCAATTTCTCC